TTTTAATTGCGATAATGAGTCGGTTGTTAACATAATTAATTCTAAGCGTTCAAAGGTTCCCCGTGTGATGGATTTATTACGCCATCTTACCCTAGTCACATTGAAATTCAATCTATACATTCATGCAAAACATATCCCAGGTAAAATGAAATTGCAGACTCTATCTCTCGTTTTCAGCTGCAGAGATTCAGAAATCTGGCACCACATGCAGATCCCAGTCCATGCCCTATTCCCAGCCAACTGTTGATAATCTGAGAGGGGACATTCAGCATTACATCAACTTATCCATTGCTTCATCCACAAAACAAACTTATAGTGCTGGTGAAAAACGCTATATTGCCTACCAGCAACAGAAGTCATTTTGACAAAATTTGTGGCTTTTCTTGCCAAATCTATAAAATATGCTTCAATCAAAACCTATCTGGCAGCTGTTCGCGATTTGCACATGCGCCGAGGTCTTCAACTAAATTTACCAAAAATGCAACAACTGCAGCTGGTCTTACGTGGCATAAAGCGTCCCCATGGAGACCAATCCCGTGTGCGTTTACCAATAACAATTCATCACTTGCGATTGTTTCACTTAATGCTTTTCATTCCATCAACACAAAATTACGAGTCCCTCATGATTTGGGCGGCCATGACTTTGGCCTTTTTTGGATTTCTTCGTCTAGGCGAACTGACATGTAACACTAAATTCAACCCCGAGGTCCATCTCATGCTTGAAAACCTTATTTTGCTCCAGGGGTGGGTCAAGGCAACCCCGAATTCATGACAGTGGAAATCAAAGTCTCCAAAACGGACCCATTCCGTTTGGGTCAAACAATCACAGTTGGCGCGTCCAACTCGCCCCTATGTCCTGTTTTGGCAATGAAGAAGTACCTCTTGGTTAGAAAAACAACGGGTGGTCCACTCTTTGTTCATGTTTCTGGAAAACCTCTTACCAAACAAACTTTAACGGCTGAGACTCGGATTTTATTAAACCACGCGGGTTTTAATGCGTCACACTATGCTGGTCATAGCTACCGAATTGGGGCCGCTACAACTGCAGCTTCAGCTAACTTGCCTGCGTGGCTCATTAAAACTCTAGGACGATGGTCTTCCGATTGCTATGAACGATACATTCGTATTCCATCTTTTACCCTGTCAAAGGTATCTGCCACCATCACTGCATCATTTAATTAAAAAAAAAGGGGGGGAAGGGCGTTTTCGTCTATGGGGAACACTCGTGTGTTTTTGGGGAAGAAGTATTCCAATATGTCAACTTCATTTCCCATAGACTCCAGTAACGTCACATATAAATATATATTTCAAATAATAGGGACTGTCTAAGCGGTTCTGTGGACCTTAGACAGGTTAGGGACTGCCCAAGCGGGCAGGTTAGGGACTGTCCAAGTGTGCTCTTGGTCAGATACGTCAGGGGGTCGCTACTCCTAACTAGCATTATCAGTTCAGTACAGTATTAGGTATGTGACGATGAGGAGGGATGTCGTTTGGCATAAACACAGAGTACTTCCCCCCAAAACACCCCTTCTCCCACAAAACCAAAACGTGTGTTTTTTATTGTGTTAATTATAGTTTATATTCAATGATTCAATCTTTGGATCATTAAATGGGCATGTTACGCACTCATGGGCTTAGCAAAGTGCTCCAGGCATTATAATAATGCTTGATTTCTAAAGGTTTCCTTTTTTTTATACACCCTGTATATAATAGGGTGCTGTTATCGAACCTACTTATTAGCACAATTTATGTTCGAATAGCGGTTTCCTTCTTTCCGTGTTATTGATATGCTAATCATTCTAATCGCTTCTCTTTTGTTTAAATGACTTGCAAATGCTGCATTATTTTTGTAATTTAGAATATCCCAAACAAAGTTTTAATACCCGTTTGTTTCTACAACATGCGCGTCGCGTTTGTGCACATAAAATACTCTTATGTCAAACTTTATTTTAGTTTTTAATATATTCCTATTTATAGGACGATCCTGATTCTGCCTTGGAACTGGAAAACTTGGCAACTTTTCCAAGACTGGTGATCACATTCTGTGTTTAATTCCCAACACTCATATTTCAGATTTGGCCCCCTTATTAGGAGTTTCAAAATCCCTTTATAGGCATATTCTTGATTTGAAAATGGTGTATGGGCTTGTAGTGCTAACATGATATTTCCAGCCATTCCAAGGCCTCTCATCGACATCTGAACAAGAGTCTAGTCCCTCATATACCACACCAGAACCTGCCACCTCTACACCTTGGAGGAATCTGGAAATTGAAGGCATCTGATGGTGGTTGGATGTTACCCAACCCAATGAAAAGGGGAAGACAAATTCGTCGGCACTTCCCACTCATTTGCCATTTCCGGAAATGATACGATTAAGTGACTTATAATAACCAATTAACATCAGAATTTCTGGTAGAGGAGATGGTAATTATGAATTATGAACAATCCAAACTCAGTTAATCTGTCAAAAGAATTATTCAGTGATAAATACGCGGAAGCAATTCTTATAGAATCGCGAAAGACATAACATGCACGAAAGCCGCCATTTGTAAAAAATATCTTACATGATTTGGACACGTGGGTTGGAAAAGAATCAACGAAAAAAATATGTACGTATATTTATTATTTACATTGTGACAAAATCCACGCGTGAGTGCTCGTCGCAACCTCTTCCAATTTCGTCTGCCGGGTTTAACAGGATAACAAGGCTTGATTCAAGATGGCACCCATATCGTATGCATGTGC